CAGTTGACTCAAAAGGAATAGGAAGAGAAATTGCTGGAGACATGGCAAAGGGTTCCTCAGATTTCTCCCCCTCAGGAGGAATACTAAAGAAAGGAGTAGACTCAGCAAATGTGACATCCCGAGATACAAAGCGGGTGCCACTAACTGAATCAAAACAACAATATCCCTTCTACGTGGGGGCATATCCCAGAAAAACACATTTACGAGCCCTAGGTTCAAATTTGTGCCTTTGATGGTTGTGAACATGCACATAGCAAGTGCACCCAACAACACGAAAAAGAAGAGAGAAGATATCCTCATCCGGAAAGAGAAGGCTAAAGGGGGTTTTGAAGCCAAGAACCCGGGAAGGCATACGGTTAATCAAAAAGGTAGCGGTAACGACAATATCTCCCCAAAATTGTATAGGAACATGGGATGCAAACAGGAGGGATCTGGCAACTTCAACCACATGCTGGTTCTTCCTTTTCGCCACTCCATTCTGTTGTGGAGTGTAGGAACAAGAACTTTGATGAATAACCCCAAAAGTTTCACGATAGGCTGAAAGGGTTTTCTCAAAATACTCTTTAGCATTATCAGAACGAAATATTTTGATCCGGGTGTTAAACTAGGTAAGAATGAGTTCATGAAATTTTTGCACAATAGTTGGTACTTAATCCCGGGATTTCATGAGATAAATCCAAGTGTAACGAGAGTAATCGTCAATAAAAAGGATAAAGTACCTGTAACCCCCCATAGTTGGCAAATGATATGGCCCCCACACATCAGAGTGAACAATATGAAAAGGAGAAATAGATCTTTTATTGCTTAATGAATAAGATTGTCTACAATGCTTTGCCAGTTCACACGACTCACAATGAAGATTTGATAAAGACACTCCCTTAAACATATCTAGAAACAAATGACTTAAAGCAGAAAAAGACAAATGACCAAACTGACTCCAAGGCAACGCTAAAAGGTGGTCCAAGAGCTCTATCAGGTGTGTCTAGCAAGTATATTCCATTCGCCTCATAGCCACTCCCAATCATCATTTGAGATAGTAGGTCCAGAAAAACACAATGAGTAGGAAAGAAGGTTATGCTACAGTTCATGGATTTAGTTAAGCTGCTAACAAATAAAAGATTTGTATTAATTTTAGGGACATGAAGGATAGAGGATAAATAAATGGTGTCAGAGGTCTTTATATCCCCTTTGCCAGAAATGGGAGCAAGAGACCCATTAGCAAGGGATATTTTTTCTTTACCAGAGAGAATGTGGTATGAACAAAAAAGATTAGACAAGCTGGTCATATGGTCTGATGCACCGGAATCAATGATCCAAAGGATTTTATAATTACCTGAAACTGAAGCATGGTTTGCAGAAGCACGAATACCTGAGTGAGCAAATGCTGATGATGATGATGATGTGTTGCCTGAAGAGTGAGATGTAGAAATAGTAGCCTCCAAGTGATTTAACAGCCTTCCATACTTTTCAAAATCTGCCTTCATTGCTGCCAACTGTGGCAACATTAATTGTCTTAGGCTTTCCTGTCTAACTGCCCTTCTTAAAATTGTTGTTATTCTTAAACCGGTCAGGTAGAAGATCAGGATGAAACTTCCGGCAAGTGTCCTTCATATGCCTCGGCTTCTTGCAACATTCACATACCTGCTCCTTCTTCTCAATTGGACCCTTCGGCTTTATTCTATCATGTGCAAAGTGTTTTGTAGGTGGACTTTGTAATTGAACCTGCCGCCTACTCTCCTCACTGCTTAACATAACATATGCTTGGGCGAGAGTAACCTCATCTTTGGCCAGAATATTCTACTTAATGATGTCAAACTCAAGGTTGAGCGTAATAAAAAATTCAAAAACCCTATTTCTTTCCACCAACTTCCTAAACATTTTTGCATCATTCTTACTCTCCCATACAACTGTCTTCATAACATCAATTTCCTACCACAGGGATTTCAGTATAGAATAGTAGATTGCCACACTCTTCTTCCCCTATCTTAGGTTCTTCACATCACTTTTAAGTATGTAGATTCTAGCCACATTCAACTTTAGTAACACTGTCCCAGATCTCCTTGGCCGAGGACATCTAGAGATAGTGTTGATTTATATGAGGCTGCATAAAGTTGACCAACCATCCTATGACTGTATAGTTCTCCTACATCCATTTCTCAAATTCAGGGTCTTTCTCTTCGGGTTTCACTTTACTGCCTGTGAGGTACCTTAATTTTCCTCTACTACAGACATAAATCCTTATAGACTGTGCCCAAGCAAGATAATTTGTCCCATCTAAATTAATTGTGGTCACATCAATCAAAACGGAATCTACCGAGCCAAGCCCGGAAACCGACACCTGCTTGAACTCACTTCCGTATGGCTCCATTAATCAAACAAAAATCAAAAAACTAGAAATTTGGTCTTTATAAACTTACTTGAAGCCAAACCAGTACCCAGATGCTTGAAAAGTAGGGTTTCACTACGTCCGGCTGTTGGGGAGAAAGATAGAAGATGTAGTCGCTCCTACCAAAGCTTCCCAACCTCTTCCAAAACTGAACCGCCCTCTTTTAGAAGTCAAAGGGCACCTTCCAAGCACAGAGTGACACACCCAAAGCTTCACTTTTACCTATAACTTCGGAAATCTCTAATCGGCTAGGGTTTTGGGCAGAAACAATACAGCACCACTTCTTGGCAATTTCCAGCCAGATTTAAACTCTCCAAACCCTCTACCAACTAGGCAAAAGATCCTTTGAACTATAGAGAACCTATCTCTCCATACACTCTTAATCGAAGGGTGTATGGGAAAAGAGAAATAAGAAAAAAAGGAAGAAAGAAACCTCCTTTGATACCAAGATATAAATCAGTCCTCTAAAACTGATGTAAACTTGGAAAAATTAGAGAGAAAAGAGGAAGAAAAGAAGAGAACAGCAGCACAAAAGAAATAAGATGGAGAAATGAAGAGGAAAAAGAAGAAGAGTTCGAATGTCACTTCCCTCCCTTCTCTAATCCTTTTACTAAACTTCAATCTTAGCATAATTACAAGTATACCCTTAAGTGGGCGGCCAGCTAGGCAGTAACATAAAGAGAATTAGCAAAAAGAAATAACATGCCCATTAAGATAGGCCCATTAGCTAACAGATAAATAAAAAACATACTATAAGAAAAGATACTAGGGCCCATTTGGCCCAGTCTCTTTACAACTCAGAATGAAGAGACCCACCACATCTTGAGGAGGTACCCACCTGCAGCCAAAGAGAGAATAGAAGTACTCCCGAACACAAGGCACAAAAGAGCATGAGATTAATAAATGGGAATTGGTCTCACCACTTGCTTTGCACAAGATGCACACATGAGGGAAAAGGCATTTGCCATCTTTTTGGGCACATGTCACAGGTGTTAATCTAACCATGGAGCACTTCCTAGAACAAAGCCTGAATTTTAGGCAAGATAGGCCTGCACCAAATCTATTTCATAGGGAAGTCCACCCCAGTAGAGTTGGAATGTATTAGTGAGCTAAAGAACAAGGCACAGGTAAAGACACCATTTGGTGAGATTGACCAGACACTATTGTCCTCCATATTTAAATCTAAGAAGACTGAATCAAGTTTAGCCAGCAATTGAACAAGAGATAAACACTCATCATACAGATTGGCAAGTAGAACAAGATTTAGCAGGAACAGTTCTTAACTGTACTTGTGCAGTCCAACCAGGGAATAGATCATGCTAGAACAAACATTATCACTTTCCTTATTATCTCTTGATGTTTACTGACAGCAGTGAATCACTGAATCCTTGATTGAGAAAACCAATCAAATGTTTTAGTTTATTAGGTGATCATCGATTCTGGATGGATAAAACATGGTCACTATTTAGTTTATTGATAATAGCAACTTTACCAAAAGGGGGCGGAAAAAAATAAAAGATAAAAGGAAAAAAAAAAAAAGTGGCTCCCCCAAAATCCATTCAACCCCTTTCTTGGAAGAAATATGTAGTGTATTAAATGATCAAAAAGTGTATATAATTAGTGTTATTAAGTTATTATCAATTTATAATATCAGATTTTGTCTTCCCCGGTTCAAAAAAAACAACTAGTAGACAATAATCACTATAAGTTGTTAGAATTTACCAAGCCACTTAAGCTATAACATGGGACCAGCAGTGTAAGAAAGCTCAACACTGGTGAAGTAAATAACCAAATATATATTATGCAAGTTCTGCTCCTTCCTTTTGGAGCATATCTCCAAGACATGTTTGGAATCAAATGGCACTTTCTAGCATCTCTAATGGGAATTTTTAGTAGCCAATCTTTAAAGGGCCTAAACAAGAAGGGAATATCTAGGAGATATTTCCTTTTGCTACTAGTAGTTCTTACAAAAAAAATAGTTGGAGCTTCTCAGGACATATTTTAGATTACTTTGCTCTTCAGCAATAGTTTGTTTATCTTTAGGAGGGGCTAGGGAGCACACACTTCATCATCTTTTTAGTGGGACTCCTTAGTCCTGACCTCCACAGAAAGTATAGTTTTTCCTTTTTTTTCTTTCTTTTTGTTCTTTATGGAGTGAAAAGCATCTTATTGAATGACAGCATTCTGTACATGGGTGATGTATGTATCTGATTTCTGAAGCTTAGCACAACTCCTTACTTTACACAACTTAATAATATGTACTTCCTCCAAAATATTCACATCTAGGCAATAGGAAGCCAGCTTGGTGCTTCCTAAGTGCCCATGCACATAGGAGATCTGCAGTCTTGTGTTGGCTAAGCATTGTGACACCTTTGTAACCATATGCTTCACATTATTGCAGATCAAAAAAAGGAAGGATTGAAGCATATTTACATCTAGATTCTAGACAGCAAGTTGCTTTAATTAAGATGATGAAACGTTTTGAGACTTTTCAGGCAGATAAAAGCTCCCATTGGAAATACAAGGAAAACCCAGTGGCATAAAGAATAGTACCATAATGTTGAGAGATAATATATTGAGAGATAATATAATAGTGATCAATCTTTATCAATACCTCCAAAGCAGACATAGCAGCAAATAGACTGAAATTCTCTCCATGAATAAGCTCACCATCTCGAAGATCTATGAGCAAAAGAGGCCAATAGAAAGGGAAATTAGTTGCAAAGACACAAATAAACTGGAGAACGTATACAGATGAAGAGAAATATAGAAACAGATATGTCATATTTTGCATCTGAAAGAAAGATAATGTTTGTCATAAGCTTAGAAAGTCAAGAGAATATCACATTATAATAAGGTCAACCAAAGCAATATAACCACAAATGAAGGGAGAATCATTAGCTTTTATAATCTCCTGCATTAATAACATTCAGATAGCATTACATCTCATAAAATATGAAACGATAAACTGTTAGTAGAAAGAAACTTTTGATCCTTATAATGAAACACATACAAGAAGAAAATGCAAATGCAATTGTATAATTTTGAGAAAAATCAATATTCTATATAGTCCCAAGGTTGAAGTTGAACAGCTTGGCTTCACGTGTTCCAACAGTCTTTAGGCTTTAGGTGTATTGGTCAAGTATGTAACAAATGGTATCAGAGCCTACCATGTATCAAGTTCGAAGCACATAAAAGGCTACCTGGGAGAAGGGCTACCAAGAGCAGAGTGAAATCTGTCATGGAAAGGGTAGCTAGGTCAGAGTGAAAGTTGCAAGAGGGCAAGGGCTACCTGGCGCCAAAGTTTAAATTGTGGAGAGGGCTACCTGCCAGGCTGCCACTATAGTGAGAGTTGCACAGGGTGAAGCTGCCAAGACGTCAGCTGCGAAAGTGTGGTGGTATGTTACAGTCCTGAAGGTTAAAGTTAAACGGCTTGGCTGGACACCTTCCAACAGCAGCTTTAGGGCTTTTGGTGTATTAGTCAAGTATGTAATAGATTCTGACAAAAAAAAAACGATCCATATGCAGAACTACAACCAATGGATGCAATTACTGTAAAGAAACAATAGGCAAAGATTATCCACAAACATAGAAAATGGCCAATATCTCTTGGAGAGAAAGATAAAGTTATGGCACCTTCCTGATTAAATTTAATCCTCAAACTCCCAGGACAACAATAAAAACTTTGATAACATAATGCACATTTGAAGCATAATTATATTATGTTACTTTTCATTATTAAACAAACTACGATAGCAGACAAAAACAGTATGTCTAAATCATCCTTATTTGCTGGTAAGTGGTAACAGTAACCTATTTCACCACAATAAATAGATGGTATACACATGCACATTTGCACATCAGATGTATTTTGTTCTTGCAAAAAAAATGCCGTAAAATGAACTATTAGCCTCCAATAAACAATGTTCCTCTGTGACAAAAGAAAAATGCTGAGCTAAGCGCACATACTGGGCCTACAAAACCTGTTTTATAGCGGGTAGACAAAGAACATGAGATGCTCAATTTCCGTTCAATAAATTTGGTTTAAATTAGCATTTAATAACTATTATCTTCGTAATAATTAAGTGCGCTTCTCCATTTATTAACTGCTACTGGAACTAATAACCTATACATTTATTAGACAACTTCTGTCTCGTACATGATAATAATAATGAGTTTGGCTACTCCACTCAATACAAATTATATTAACTCAAAATCATAACATCAACAAAAACTTCATCTGGAAAACAATGATGAGTTCAAAGATCATACAGATAACCCTACACAACATACAGTTTCGATTGTCACATAAACATCAATTTGGGGCCATGAGTATCCCATTCAACGGGTAGCAGACCAACCAAAAGAAGCAAATTTTTAAGGAAGAAGTAAATTTGGTAAAAGAAGGATATGAGAACAATTTCCGAATCTCCACAAAAACTAAAAGAGACGCAAGTTTGAAAAGAAGTTAACTATTGAAATGGATTTCAAAGGAGCAATAAAGCATCATAGAAGTTCGAAGTGCCACCTCTGCAAGCGGCCTCAAGAAGAGGGGAGACATCAGCCCAAACCGTCTGTTCATCAGAATAAATAGAAGCAGGCAATGGAGCATCCCCTCCTTCTCCCCTCTCTGCCATTTTCAGTCTGCTTAGCACTGTCTTTCCTTCGAATCCTCGCTTTTCTTCTTCACGAAAGTAAGGAGAGAGAGAGTTTCACTCTTTCAGTGTTTACCGTGATCGTAAACTGTAAAGCGTCCGATGAAGTAAACTTTGATAGACGGTAAGTAGTGACTGCAATCTCGGATCTCTTCGGGTCCGTAGTAGTAGGATGAATGAACCCGGTGTCTGGACCCGGGAGTAAGCTTGGACTCGGACTCGGAATAGCCAGATAGCACCGTAGCAGTTTATTCGGATCTTAGCTCAACGGATCGTCCAATTTATCAGTTGCTGCTTCTGATTTCTGAAGGCTCCCCCTCTGATGCTAAAAGGGTCAGCTTGAACTGATTGATGATTGGGATTAGAGTCATTGGGCCTTACATGATTCGTCGTGGAGGCAGCAGTGCAAACTGAAAAGCCTAATTGTTTTGCTTTTTTCCCTTTAGGCACTGTTTGTTTCGGGATTAAATAAGTAAATAACATGTAGTTATGGGCCCATATTTATAAAATAAGGACCTAGCCAGATGACTTTTGAGGATTTGATTTATGCATCATTGTGGAAACCCTCTAGCAGAACTTTTGTTCCATTGTCCAAATCTATAGTAAAAAGTAAAAAACACAAATTGCATGCTGATTTTTTACCCACCTTTGAAATTTCTTTTTCTCACCTGGATGGAGCCATGGAAGAAGCAGGACAAGATAAGATGCTTCTTTTTTTACATGTTGTAGATATTCTTTGACCAGAAAAATGCATTTTGAAACTGGGTGAATTTATATACCATGTAGATGTAATTTCGGGTCGAGCTGGGTTGGGCATTTGTTGACTTTGAATGGGCCCTAACCCTAATGTTGCATTTGATTTGCTAGAAAAATAAGAGAAGCAGAAAATTGTTAAGCAACTTTGAAAAATTACTTTATCAACTTTCCTTCTCTCATTTTCCATCAACCCAAACATAACCTAAGGGTGTTTATGGTTTATAATCATCAACCTTGCCTAGATATAACTCGTATGTAATACTTTGAGTTGTGTTCAGTTTGAGGGAAAAAAAAAACAAGTAGGGAAATGTATGAAACTTATATTAGAGGCATGATTCAAAGTATCACACATCTATCAGCATATGCGTATTGGTACTTAGATACACACGAAATTTTTTTTTTCAAGGCTTTTGGGGAGTTAAAAAATGGCATTTGTTATTAAAAAAGGGTGGGTCCTAAACACCTGTTTACAAGTGTTTCATGACCCAAAAAATACGATACAATACTCTGATACGGAGCGTATTGTATCGATTTTTTTGAACCTTGATTAGAGATGCAGTGTGGGCCGTCACAAACCACTTTTGCAAAGCCACCCACACGGTGGTGGGTTGTGTTGTGTAGGCACACGGGCCTGAGTCATAACCCCTCAAAGGGGAAGTCTAGCACAACACAGGCTCCTGTCAAGCCACAAACCTAATCCTTTTTTTTTAAGTATTTTCCTTTTTGCTAAGTAAAAATGTCAAATATTATGGAAAATAATATAAAATCACTTAACAAATAGAAAAATAGACAACAGATTGGAAAAAAATAATACAAAAAAAATCATATGAATTTAATGCATACAATCGATCATATATAAGTAATAAATTAAATTGCAAAAAATACAATGGAATTGGAATATGATAACTTTGAAAATAAAAAATTGCAGTAACATTCAAAATCGCAAATAATTATTGGATAAAATTGAAAACCACAATTTACAATAATTAAAAAGGTACAATTATTGAATTTGGAAAATTATTGACGTCAATATGTTCTTCGACTTCAAGTTCCACTTTCTCAATCTCCTTAATCTTGATTTATGTCATTTGCATATAATGAACCACCATTAGTTGAAGTGTAACGCCCTCCAACCAATTCTTCAAACACGTTCATATCTCAAGGTGTTTGTTATTCATGCAACTTTTATTTTCGCCTAGTGCCCTAGTATTTGTACTAAAACAATACTCCAATGAAATTATAGACACCAAAGGAGTTAATCATATTGGCAAGCATTAGATATTTTTTCCATATTACTTTCCACCATGCTAAAGTATCAAAATATACAATTCTTCAAAAGTGAGGAATTAAATTCTAAAAAAAATGAAATTCAGTAAATTAACTTACTAATAAACGATTGTTTGTTGCCTTTTATTTATTAATGACCTAACTTTATCTGGTCGTAATTAGACTTTGTCCAACCTTTTTGGGAAAGAGTCCACAATTCACTTATTCCAAAGCTAACGGGTTTACTTATAGCCATAGTAGAGGAGATTGCACAAAAGTCTTCCACCAAATTAACACTATGTTTCACTAGCTGCATGGATGTTAGATCATGCATAGTATAGCCATTTACTCACTGTTCCTTAGATCCCCTAATTGTTTATAGTCTTCTAATGGTCTTATTGTCTAAGCTAAATGATTCAATGTTTGCTCGACACCCTCCGACCTTTGAAGGGAGGGGGAAGAGGTGATAAGTGAAATGATGTGAAGTACAGGATGGATATAACATTTCATTCATTTATACAAATTTATACAATTGGGTCTAAAGACTCGAAATACGTCACAAGAATTGAAGAAAAAATAAGAGAAATCGATTGGGTTGCAAACAATATACGCACAAAATAAGAGAATTCCTCACGCATGGACCTCAGTTATTGGCAATTGACAGTAGACGAATCAAGTATTATTTATCAAAATTTATGGGTGAATTTTGATTGTTCAAAACTTTTTTCATATCATAGATTTTCCCACTAACTCAACATATACCCAAATGGTGCTTGCCTCGGCTGACCCGTAAAAGTGCTCATCATCCCTACATATGTGCCTAGCACATGGACACCTTGTCCTTGGAATTGGGGGGAAGGACATCTGAATGGGCAGAGGAACCATGACATGTCAGCCTTGGAACCATGTGTGTGACACTGGCAGGTTGATGTCGATGAAACAACATATGTTCCATTATGGGCAAAATACATGGTGAGCATTGATGAGGTGCAAACTAACCATGCAACATCTCGAGATCCCTCCATCCCATCGATGTGTGGGACACGTTGGATAACATCTTAGTTGAGGATTCGTTGAGAGGATGACACATGCCCCAAGTATGAGGCATAGGATGTTAATGGCCCCAAGTATAAGGACATGGTGTCCCATGTAAGCTAGGGGTGTAAACAGATCAAATTCGAATTGATCAGACAGTATCTAAATTCGATTCCGATTTAAAAAATAAATAAATATTCGACAGATATCGAAAATCAATATTTGATTTCGAATCCGATTAAATATTCAAATATTTGATTTGATTCGAATTCGACTAATTAATTATTTTAGGTAATTAATACATGTATAAAATAAATATTTTATTTATATAAAGTATATAAATTATTTATTTAATTTAATTATTATATATATTATAAATTATATCAAAACATTTAAAAAAATTTATATATTATATATAAGCATTAAATAATTGATCGAATTCGGATATTTATCGAATCGAATCAGATCATATACAAATTCGAATATGATTAATTATTCCGTATAAATAGGATATCTGAATTCGACTGATTAAATATTCAATTCGATTAATGTCAAACATCAAATTTAAAATCGGATTTTCGAATACCGTTGACACTCTTACATGTAATATATGCACTTTTTGCATGCTAACTCTCTCGTTCACTTCATTTTATTTTAATGCTCAGGCTCACAACTCACATAGCCATCTTAACCTTTCAGCTCAGTTCAGTCTAGCCATCCCCTCAACAATTATTGACTTTGAGTGCCAGAGATTTTCTCTCCATAACCACCTTGGGGCCTTTGACCATTCATATGCTTATGGGTTCTTGGAAATTTTCAGCTTGTCCAACTTACTGCCTTGAGACACAAAAGCTTGTACAACTTCATCAAGATTAGTGTTTTATTCATTATAAACAGTTTATGTGAAATCAGTGCATGTTTCATTATAATGTAATTCTCCCACAACATCTCAAATTTCGTGTATCGATTCAAGTGGTTCTCCCGTCTAACACAGTGAAATAATGGATTCGAAAGTCTCCCAACTTGTAATTTTAGGCCCAATGAATCCATTTCATAGGAGTTCGCACATGGTGGGGTTTAGAATGATGTGATCGTCCAGAATGTTCAAAAAGATTCACTTGATTTGCCACATGTTCATTCAACAACATTTTTTTTTTAATTCAAAACTGGGATCTGCTCCTCACAGAATGCTCTTCACACCAATTTCGTAGCCACATCAACATCTCTCATGAATAATAACATACGAATACGGGAGATGTTATTGGTGTGTGGCTATAATGTACTGTGAGGTCGATGTGATGAGATTTGGACTATTTTTATTAAACAAATGATTAGAGTTCTTTGGACAGATTGGCCAAGAGATGTACCCGTTATACCTTTTTCTGTATAGTCATTGAGAATGATTTTGAATAAGTGTTTTCGCAAAATTGGGATTTGCTCATCACAGAGCGCTCCTTACACTGACCTTACAACAATATATCACCTTGTATTGGAAATTTTCCAATGGAAAGTAACATGTAATTATGGAAGATGTTCCTAATGTGCGGTTCAGACATGTTGTGAGGAGTAATATTTGAGTAGCAGTTCAAACTCATTTTTGCAAGGGGTCTATTGGCCACCATTTAGGCATTGCATAGTGATGTCAATCGGTTGGGTCTATTTGCAAGGGGACTATTTTTATTAAACAATAATTAAGTTCATTTTAAAAGCCTAATGTGAAGTGTTAGGGGTACTCTTGGAATAAAATACTATAGGCCCATGCCCTTAAACATTTTCTAATCAATATAGATGGTCAAGTTGCCTTTTTTCATACAACAATATAAAAAATTATTGATAGAAGGTCAATTACGTAAATCAGTTGCAAACTATAAGGGAAATTTTAGTAAAACTTAAAGTATATGATAATTTTAGTAAATCCATGAAAAAATAGGGGGTGCTTTAGTAAATGACATTTTTTTATTTTATTTTTTATAAGGGAAATTTCCCGATAAGTACCCTATACTTTGGGTCTAATGTCATTTTGGTCATCGAACTTTAAAACGCTACAATTCAATATCTGAACTTTCAAAATACGTTAATCCATGACCGCCAATTATGTGTATCATATCACATCTTATTTGACTCAAGACTTTTGAAAATATCAAAATTACAATACTCCTCATCACCTTCGTCCCCAAAAAAAACGAAACAAAGCTCAACACTGAGCTAATCCATTTAGGGGAGTTCTAATTCGATTATCAAGGTTGTGCTTTTTCTGCTCCTCTAGGGTTTAGGTACGGCAGGGCTGAAGCATTGAAGAACGTGGATATAATGAACAATGGATAGTTAGAAAAAAAATGGAGCGATGGATAATCAAATAAATTAACACTCACACCAATGTTGTACGATGACGAACGTGATTCAGTTTCATAATTTGAAAAGAAAGAAAAGAAACGATGTACCTTGGTTTTATCGGAAATGCAAGTCCTTAAGGTTGATATTGTGCCTCTTGTTTGACTTCCCTTGGTATGGTGGTGTGCTGGGATGACTTGTTTATGTGGTTCAGTAGTCATGCCCAAAGTAGTGAAATGCTGAAACCAGACATTATGTGGGCTATTTGATGCATGTTTTGTGTCACTTTAAAAGAATAAAAAGTGAGAAACTGCAGCTAGTTATTGAGATAGACAAGGCAAAAAGCATTGAGAACAGAAGTAGAACTGGTGGAGGAACAATTAGGAGGAGGAAATTCTTTTTGGAATAATTATTTAAGTGGTGGTAATGGCTGGATAGTTTGGGAGATTATGCTTTTGCTAATTTTGTTGGTGCCAAAGGGTGGCAATAAGCTGACCCTTTCATGAGCTGCTTGAACTTGGTTTGTGAAAAGCTCGGTTTGGTTTGGTTTCAACTGAGTTTCAAGCCAAGTTTGGGCCCAATTCATTGTCTCAGTTATGAAATGAGCCGAGTTCGAGTCTATTAGAGCTTGGCTCGTGAGCTAGCTTGAATATATATATAGTACATATATATAATAAAATTATAAAAAATAATATATATAATAAAAATATTATAATTCTTAAAATTTTAAGTATCAAATAAAAAATATTTTTATATATAATTTGTTTATTTTTATAAAATATTTTTTTCTCAAAATCGAGCTCGAGCTTATGAATTTTTTACTCGAGCTCAAGGTTTTGGCTCGAATCGAGCCTTGTAGAGCAGTCTCGAGCCGAGCTCGAGCCTCGTACTATTTGGCTTGGCTTGGCTCGAATCCACCCCTATTGGTGCCTTGCTGAATTTCCAAGTGGTGGCCATTGTGGGTTTTGTCTTTTTTTTGGTTTTTTTTTTTTAATGTGGGCTTCTTGGTTAGCTCTTTGCCTTTGGGATGGTTTGGGTGTTTTTTGGATTAAAAACTATGAATTTATTAAGGTAATTAGAATATAGAATATAAATTTGGGCATTTGGAAGGTTGGTAAAGAAAATTAGATGACACTTAAAGGATATTTGTATCTTTTTAGATATCATTTAACAATTAGATTCACACGTTTTAAAAGTTTCGGTATTGAATTGTCATTTTCCCTTTTTATAAGTTGTTGGCATTGCTCGCTTGAGCCTTGAATAGAGGCGGAGCGGGTTCGGTATCCCTCTTCACTTGGTCGGATCGGGGCTTGGGTTAATATGGTTTCGGTTCGGTTCGGGTCCATCACGAGTCACAACTCACAAGCCACGACCCACGACTCACGAGTCACGACTGTTCGTGTGTTCCCTTCTGCTATGATTCATTTCGCGCCAAAGGATGTTTCCCGCGTTATTTTGGGTAGGAAAAATAAGAGGAAAACAAGGAAGCTCCCAATACCCTCATCTCTGCATCTCTGTCAGGCTCTCTCCTTCGTCTATCTCAACTCTCAAGGTGGGCGCCTCTGAGTTTTCCAAATACCGTTCCAGAAAGAGAAGCTGGAAACGCAGGCGATGCTCAGTTACACGCGATTCCAGTGCGAAAAGGAAGAGCTTGACGGTGCATAGCATTGTTAGCCAATTCGGCTAAGAATTAGGATTCCTCCACGGGCTACCGCTGGAGAAAGCTGTAACTCTAGGTGGGTCTCTGCGGGTGAACTCGGGAAAACCATAGAAGAAAGAAATGTTCTACTCGCACACCTTCCTTGCTCGAAAAAGTCCTCTGGGAACGGTTTGGATCGCGGCCCATCTGGAGCACAAGCTTCGGAGACACCATGTTACAGTTACTGATATTCCTTCATCCGTCGGTAGGTCCCTCTGCAAAAATCTTCTTAAACATTGCCTTTTTGGACTCTTTTAGGCATCAGAAATAGGAAGACTAGAGATTTGGTGATTGCTTACCTTGGGTTGAACTTAGCTTTGTCAATTGATTTGTATGTTTTTGAGTGTTGATTTTGAAATATCAAGGTTGTTAATTTATTTTCTGTTCATGCTCTATTAGCTTGCACGCCTGTTCCAGGAGATTTTCCAGTAGATACAATTGATCCAAGTCATTTTTTTTTTTCTTTCTCTTGGTCTCGTCCTTTTTCTATCATCTGTACTTGTTACTTTGAAATAATGTCTGGCTTTTCTTTGAGAACTATACAATTTTTGCTTCCTGGATTTCTAACCCCATTCACAAATTCCATTTGAGGTGGTAAAATGTATTTTTACTCCTTTCCTCGTAGTCACGGGGTCTTGGAACATTTTCTTATTAATGGCTAGTTCCAATTTCAAGGAATTGGAATGTTAAGAACTTTTTATTATTAACTATCATGGCTGAGTTGAGTGGTTTCCAATTTCAAGGTATCTCATAGAGGAATACCGAGTCAAAGACAAGAAGAAGCATTTTACACAGGTTTAAGATTCTCTCTTTGATGGCCTTTGTGAAAAGGGCAACCTCAATAGATGACATTCTCGACCCCTTAAATAAATTGATTGAATTTCTGTTCCACAGCAATTAGGTTCAAGTTTGAATCTTCATTTGTTAAGGGAAATAATTAAATATGTTGCTGACTATCTAATCAGTTATCTTTCTTGATTGAATGTGATAGAAATAAAATAGTTTGGTGATCTGATATAGGTCAACTACTGAGAATCTTTAGCAGTAGGACATAGCTATCAAGGCTGCAAAGACAGTGTAGTGAACTGTTGCTTAGATGATTCCTAGACATCGACTAATCTTCAAAAATACTTTTACGACAAAGAAAGTAATATGTATCAACTTAGCAACATGCAAACATAATAGCAAATATGAGAATGAGCATGCATTAAATATGGAAATTTAGCAGTATACAAGCATACAACTCAAACCATAGAATTGCATTTATGGGGTTAAATATAGAAACATACAAACTAGCAATTGGAGAATGAAGTTTTCCCCCCTTTTTTCTCTTTCTGAGTTTTCTCTTGAACATTTGGGTTTTATTAAGAGAATAATGGGGATGAATCCCCTAACCTTCACACATACAAGGGGAGGTGGTTGCTGAACAGATAGTGAAGAAGGGATTCATATTTTTCTTTTTATATTAAAATAAAATAGCTGATTTTTATTTATTTTCTTCAAACCTCAGGTCATTTTTATTCCATTTTTTTCCCTATCATCAAACTATTATAAATTGAAAGGATAATATATATACCAAGGCATGTATTGCATATACCATATGCTGCAATATGCTCACTCAGTTTGACATTTACCATATGAGGTGAGCCTAGGCATGGAAGAACTGGGCTTAAGTAAAGTGACTAAAAGCCCCCTTGATAACCATGAGTTGGGCCATCAACTTGAACCTCAAGCATGCATCTCACTTGTAGATCATACTGCTTTCTGTACTTCACCATGGACCTCTTATTCTGTTCTAGTCCAATATGTTTTAAATTGACAGCCAGAGCCAAAGTAACAATTATAAGGTAATTGATACTTTGTTGTTTGACGCCTTTAAATAATCTCATGTGTTTATTTTCTTTTTCTTTTATGTCTTCCTTAGATTGCATCATGTTCCCAGAAGTCCCAATTGCACTGAGGTTGTCAGCCCACCTTCTATTGGGTGTTGTTCGTATATATTCGAAGAAAGTCGACTATCTCTTGTATGACAGTAAAATAATGCAGACTCGAATGCAAAATGCTTTTGGGTCAATAGATGTTAACCTACCAGAGGATGCAACACATGCACCATTTCACTCTGTCACTTTGCCAGATACTTTTGAGCTTGATGCCTGGGATTTGGATGACACGTTGTATCATGAAGGGTAAAGTTCTTAAGGTCCAATGTTATGTCTTAATTTATATTATATCAAAATTTGTGTGTGACATATACGCATATTGGTTATCAGGTTTCAGGATAATCATCTAAAGAGCATTGAGGAAATTACAATTACAGGTGTTGATCTTATTTTTCTGTTTGACATTTGTCCTTTTTCTTATTTCCTTCTGGTAATATTTTCACCAATGTAACCATAAGTAAATGCTAGGGTTTCTCATGTTCACAGATCAGATCCCAGGTGAAGGAGATCCTTATGTTGCATTCTTTATTAATGAGGTCAAACTCCTTTTATCTTAAAATACTATTTCTTTTGTTCTTTCTGATCCTTGAATTTGTGAGATGCTAGATGTTATGTTATGGCCTAATGGAAATGCCTGCTTTTAATAGGACATTAGCATGGATATATCTCTTCCATCAGAGATTCCAGAAATTACAGCCAGTCCAATGCAAGAAGAGTATGCTTCTTTTATATCTGAATATTTTCTTTGCAAATTTGTACATTCAGGAACTCAAGTTCAGATTTTATTCTTTCTCCCTCCCAGCAGTCATCTCCCATCAGTTCCAGTGGACAATGGTGTGGGTATTTTTGATCCTGGCCCAAGCAACCAAGCAGAAAATTCTAATCAAAGGCCTTATGAAGGCAATATTCCCCATGGCATCCCAGAAATTGAAGTTATGTGTGATGATGCTCATGATATGGATAATCAGAGGCTTTATGAAGATCCCATCCCTGAAGAGGTCCCAGAAATTGAAATTATGCGCGATGCTGCTCATAATACAGAGTCACATAACTTTCCAGATTGGCAGGACCTTGATGATAACATCATTGAACAAGACAGATCATTCAACCCAATCATAAATGAGAAGGAGACTCTTTCTCCAATAATGGAGGATATGCCATCTTCTGGAGGGCAATCTGTGCAGTTTCAGCTACGCTCAGAACCACCTACCTCTGTTGCTTCAGAAGAAGCTCCTGATGTTTATAATTTACAGACTTCATTGGGTGAGGTGTACACTTAAATTATTATATTTATGATGCGTGATGATTTTATGGGATCAATGACAAATAGTTCATTCTTTTTTCCACTTCTATTGCTATGCAGGCCATGTATCACCTCAGCTGGCAATTCGACCAAGCCCACCTGTTGTAAAGCAAAACGTGAGACCAAGGAAGAGAAAGCATATATTTGATCAATCTGTAGTGTTAAGTAACAAGTAAGTTTTTTTTCTGCTTCCCATGTGAATATCATTTTTGTCTGTGCATGAATTTGTTGAAGATCACATTTGTCTCTCTATTTAACAGGTTTATAAAGAAGGGGCTTGAAGACCCTAGTGATCTATTGTGCCCCCGGAAGAAACTTCCTTGTTCAGCTTTAGATTTTTGGAAGTTCAATAATAGGTCAAGAATGGAACAAGTCCTCCTCGAGCCATTAACTTCTGGTGTGTAGGTTTACTTTCGTGACTCATATTTGGTACTGATCCTAATCCTGTTTGGAAACTGATTTACTTGTGGACATGAATTTCTTCAGGACTGTCTACCAATCTTCAAAATATTTTCCAGAAAGACTTTGTTACTTCGAAGCTTGACTTACTTCAAGTTGAGGGTGCTCATCCAGAGTCGAGGGATGTACAATCTCCTGCTCCTGTACCTGACTTTGCTGTGGAAATGGAGCATCTTCGATATGATGAAATCCATGCTGTTGGGAGTTCTTTTTCTGAATTCATGGCTTCTCCATCTAGAAGAGAGGAGTTTACTCCAGTTTCCACCAATGATTTAAGGTCTGAACCTCAGATGGGAACATTTATTGGGAGTGAAGTGCTGCCAACACCAGATCAATATGCTTCTACTGAACCAATTGGGTTTGAAAAAGAAACACCAATGACTTATTTAGAGGAGCAACTAGGTACAGGAGGCACTGGTTTTTCAGACATTCCAGAGTTGCTGAATTCACCTAAGGCAGAAGTGAGTGTTCTCTCTCTCTCTCTCACACACACACACACATACACACACGCATGCTCATCACTACCACCACTGCCACAAAAAGTGGAATGAGGTAACTAGTTGCATCTTAATTTCCTCAGGTCAGTTTTGGCCTAGATGATTTGCTAGTTTTATTGATTATCCTCCTAAATCTTGTTTGCCCAGGTTTGTCTTCTATGTAACATAGCTACATACATACCATATGGAATTCTTGTACCATCCTATTCAATAGCATTATGATTGATTTTCCAAATTCTGTATTACGATTTTGCAGTTCAAGTAAAAAAGCACACTACATTCTGTTACTTGTACATTTTTCCATCGTCTGTCTCTTCACATTTTTGTATTTGATTTATTGGATGCATTTTCAATAAAATGGGTTGCCCTCTATGTGCCTTATGTTGGGGGGAGGGTAAAGTTTAGATGTATATGTACATTAAAATCTAACATCTGTATGCTCTTATGTAATTTTCCCTGACATTTGTTTTACTTAGTTACCTAATGGTTGTTCTGGAGTTGCAGTAGGTAGCAGTAGCAATAAATGTTGCATTTTGCTGACTCTACCCCTTTTCTCTCTACTGTAGGACCTAGATTTTTTGGAAGCATATGATACGCCAACTGGTGAGTCAAAAGACTTTTTCTACTCGGACACGATTTGTTTGGATGATTATGCATCTTATTGCACTTTATTAATTACATGAGAATGACTTGGGAAATAACTGTAGATGGTAACTGCATTTCAGATCATTTGTGGTGGTTCTTTTTTGCATTATTGGATACTTATGGTGAATGGATTTTTCTTTCCTGTAATAGGACACCAAGAAAATGAGGAAGTTGGCATGCTGTCTGTGAGGACCAGGTATGGAGTCTTTCATACATCAAGGCCTGAATACTTCACTAAAAAAGGCTTGAATAGGACTTATGATCTACTCTGGCAAGTAAAATGTGTTTTATGTGATTAATGTGCAGGGCTGTGGCTCAATATTTAAAAAGGCAGTCTCCTGCAACCCCAACTGCGAAAAACTATTCAGGAAATCTTAGCTTGAACAAGGTTTTGGAAGGAAAAACAAGAAAACTATGTGCCCGTATGTTCTTCGAGTCACTGGTAAATTCAGAGACCATTTCATCTAAACATGCATTATGCATAGGCCCTGAAAGCAGTTGCTAAGATCTTTTGATTCATGATTGGATTCCTGTGATTGAAATCATATCTTGGCATAGGCTATATTGACCTAGGCATGAATCTCTTTTGAAAGGTCATAATAGTCCTTTGTTTCTCATTTTCATCTTTGCCCAAGGTCTTAATAGTCAGTTTGGGAAATAACTATTTTTCTTGAACACTGATCAATTCAAATAAGGGAGATACATATTTTATTTTAATTAGTATTGGTAATTGACTGCATTAAAACCCATCGGTCTTAATACCTGGAAGGCATCCTTCTTGCTTTTTTGGTAATTCAAATCAAAAGAGACCAGACCCTTATTATTATAGTGCCCATTTAAGTTCTTCATTGCTTTATTCTCAATTTTTCGGTGGACTACCCCCTTTTTCTTGGATGGCATGGTGTGAGAGTTTTTCGCCAGTGGTTGTCAAAGTATATTATGTGGAGCCTATTATTCCATATACCATACAGTGTTTTCAACTCATTGACCTGGTCATGACGCTGGGTCTGGTTAACCCATAGCCTGCTATATTGCAAAATGCTTGTTGACTTGGTCAATGACCCATTGACCTGGAGGGTTGAAATGCCTACCTGTTTACTAGGTTACCAGGTTTTATATTGTTTTCTTTTTTGAATTTTATTGTTATGACATCATGGATCAACCCATTAACTTGGAAGGTTGAACCATTGACCTGTTCACCTAGAGTGAAAACTAGTTCAGCCTTTGCATTGGTTTTAAAAATATTGATTCCATATCTCAAACAGTAGACCTTTTTCCTATTTTGGTTGTCTTTAGAATTCAGAACTCTAGTGAAAACTTGGAAGCTTTCTTTTGTTTCCTTTTCTTTTCAAATAAAAAAATAAGTACTAATACAAATTGTTAATTACTTAAGGTGCAAACATAAAGAAAAAAAGAACCTAATAAATGGACAAATGCATGACCAATTGAATTATTAAACAAATTATGTTAATAATAAGAAAGATATTGCACAAGGGGTGGCAATATGTTAACCCTCTTATTCTATCTTACAAGTAGGCTACCAGTTGAACAAGAAACTTCTTTTTCTACAAGCAATAGTTTATTATTAATTAAAGTAACTCATTTCCTGCTGTTTAAGAGCTTGACAGAAAGGTACAAAAACAACATTTTTCTGATCACTCCCAATATTCTAATTATACGTACAAGGTTTTCACTTGGAAGAACTATGTACCATTGGGAGGAAGAACAACCCTAATAAACTCTACATTGGCAACTTTCCAATTTGCTACCTCAAAGTCTTCAGAATTCCCAACTTGGTTGCAAAAAGATTAGGAAAATGATGAGAAGTTTCATCTGGGAACCAAGGGAATCTGAGAAGGGCATCTAATATAGTAGGAAATGGTGTGCAAAAGAAATGATCAAGGGGGTTTGGGACTGGGCAAGCTGGGGCTGAAGAACTCAATATTGTTGATTAAATGGCTGTAGATATTTCCACTAGACTTTGATAAATTTTGGCATAAGGTAGTGACTAGTATCCATGGATTGCAATCTAATAGTTGGAATGCAGGTTTGACAACTAAATCTATGATAGCTTCACCTTTTTTGGGTAGGGAGGATGGCTTCACCTTGGAAAGCCATTTCTGGACTTCTAGTATGTATCCACTTTTCTTGTGGTTCTTTCATTTTGATGTGTGCTCTAGCAAAATGACCCTTTTATGTGAAGCTTTTTCGACGAGGGGGTGGGGTTCAACCCTAAAAGACTGCTTCCTATTCATTTTCTCCTTGTCTTCTTATAAGCATAAATATGTTTCCTTCTTCACTTCTTTTTCAAATGGTGGTACCTCTTGGGATTTTTAGTTTTAGGAGAGGTTTAAAGGATTTTAAAAACTCCTGAGGTTCTCAACTTGCTCAACTATTTGGAGGGAGTTCTCTTAGATCCTTGCTTGATTGTAGAATTTGGTTGGTCTAACCCTCAAGCATCTTCATGTGTGCTTCTTTCTTTAAAGACCCATCTTCTTCTCCCAATCAACAGTCTTTTCTAATACAAGGGTTTTAACTAGGAAGTTTATCATTTGAAAATCAACACTTGTGATATTCTTCAAAATAGAAGACCAAACCAGTATTTATCTCCACATCTATTCTCTTAGCAAGGCAAGTAAAAATGTTATTTGGGAGTGGTTTTTCATTCCTGTTAGTTGCAGGTAGACTCCCTTGTCTGATGTGGAGAGCTTATTTAAAGCCTCTTTCTTTAACCTATCAAGAAAGAGAGGGAAGATAATGTGGAGATGCATTGGGGTTGCATTACTGTGGAAAACATGGGAAGAGAAAAACAGAAAAAAGAAAAGAAAGGAAAAATCCCTTCAATGGAGAGGAAAAATTAAAAGCAATAATAGAATCCGGAAATAGTGGTTCAGGCTTGGTACAAAGCTAGTACATTAGGTCAGGCAAAAAAAAGGAGATGAGAACTAGAGAAGAAGAAGAAGAGGAGAAAGGAGTCGGCAGGTTAGAAATTCAAATCTAACTCTAGATTGTGTGATGGCGTTACAAATATAAGTTGTCAAAATTTTATGGTGCATAAGCAAGGTTTATTTGTTTGATGACACTTCCATGGATTGGATATTGTTTTGTTTTTGTTTTTGGATATTCTTTCATATTTTATTCTTAATTTCCAATTGCATTTTTTTCTATGAATCTTCTAATCTTATGATTTGATTCCACTTGTCAAAAAGAAATTTTTTGATTTGGTTCCAACCCATCTCTTGTATTTTCTCATCCAAGATAGTTATGAAATTGCTTAGTGAAACAAGACATTCTCTTGTTCTTTACTTTTATCTGTTTGATCTTCAGTATTGGTATTCTTTTAATCATGATGATCTGATACTTTTAGTGTGGTCCATTCAAAAACCTATATTTTCATTAATCATCATATCTCATATTGATCAGTTGTGGAATAAATTCTTCACCAATATATTCTATATACACTAACAATCTAAGCTACTACTAGTTAAAGCAGAAGTGTGTGTGTGTGGATGGGTATATGCTTATTGTATCTTTTGATTGTAGGTCCTGAAGAGCAATGGGCTTATTGATGTAGAACAAGAAGAGGCTTATGGTGATATTACTTTGAAATTGACTTCTATGCTATCAAAGGCCCAATTCTGACATCATTTTCTTTTTCTGACACACCTGAAGTCTTATGTAAATAGGTAAGATTAGTGAGAAACCAACTATCCATGCTTAACTTTTTAGCTTATATCTGTTACACTTTATCTCATTCTTGATCTGATATATCTTTTAATGGCTTCATTATTAGCAACAATCGTTTCAACTTGGTACCTCATCATGATTGTTCCGTGTTTACACTGCAAAAAATTTCTTTTGCTATCATATAGGTGTTCAGACGTTTTTCCTACTGCATGCTTGGTCAAGATAAGCATATTTTCATGTGTATGTTCTGATATACATTATTCATATGTAAATAGATTCTTGCTTTCAGACCTTTTGTTTATGGCATTCCTTATGTGGAGCATATCATCCATCTTGGAACACATCATTTATTAATTTTAGAAATGCAAAATCTTGAGAATTTCATCTCACTGAAGGAATTGTAGAATTTCCCCCCAGTTGTAGGCATAAAAGTACAATTTTGTCTTTCATGCTTGTCACACCCGAGATTTAGTTTCATTTGGTTGTTTTTTCTAGTCCAGGGCCGTTATCACTTTCCCATTGACATGAACGCACATGTAAAGGGAAATCCATGCATGTCCTCTCACCTAGGCATTTCCAAATCTGAGCCTACATGAAGTTGTTCTTAAAACGTGCATTTTAACTCCAATTACTTGATGATGTTAGTGTGTTTCACACATTGGATGGCTTTGGGCTTTGTAGTTGCTTTGGTTTCATCAGTGTTTAGAATTTGTATGATTCTCTTCATTGGTATATATAACCACTCGTCCATTTGAACCTACTTGTCTGGGTTTCGTTATTTCTTGCAGATGGATATTCCTATACTACCATTCACCAAAAAAGTGTTGAATGGTGTTCATAAATTAACAGGGATGGTCTCTTATTTGTAATTTTTTACTTTGATTTATTTTTGTAAGTTATGTTTTCTTTCAAGGTTTATTTATATTCTTTATGGTGTAAATTTCCAATGTATTCCATTTCTAGTTTTCATCACTATTTTATCTCGTTTCTGCATAATATGGGTTTCTGGTATTTGTTTCTGTACTAGCAAGAGAATTAACTTGTTCCCCTTTCATTCATATTCAACTAAACCAAAACCGTCTAAATTGCATTGGGAAGACTAAATTCAAGTCAGTGCATGGCCCAAGCTTCCTATCTGGCTGGGTTTTCTTTTGGTGAAACAGATATGCTACAAAGAAAGATGTTGAAAGGTTCCTTTGTAAACGTCAGCCCTGCTTGACTTTTCTCTGGGCGAGACCAGTTTTCAAAGTGTCGGTGTATCGCTGGAGCTAAAATGGTGTCATTAACTCGGCTGTGTTTGATTTGGAGGAAAAAGTAGGGAAAGGGAAAGGCAGGGAAACCCATCTTTCCCTTCCTTTCCCTACCTTTTCCTTCAAATCAAACATAGCATACGAGATTATCTAGGTGAAATTTGAGTTGTGATTGGTTCCCCTTCCCCACACCAACTCTACAGCACATTGCAGCCATGCATTGGAAAAATCTCCCAGAGTTTGGATTTCCTCACAAAATCATCTTCACACCCTTCTCACAGCACATTGAAGCTGCACATTGGGAACATCTCCTGTCATTCATGGGAAGATGTTCTGATGCACAGCTGCAAGTGCTGAGAGGATCTCTCCATTAATGACAAGACACAAGTACTGGAGATGTTCCCGATGTAGTTGCTATGTACCGTGGATGGCCGATTTGGATTTGATAATTTTCATGATTTACCCAATTTGAATGTCGAAAGATTTGGTACTGTGTCAACTTTCAACTGTCAAGAGGGGATTGGATGACTATGGATTGGTGAGAAGAATATATAGAGAAAGCCTTATTAGGTTTCATTTTTTATAAATCCAAGAGGGGCACAAGATGGGGGTAGCACGTCCCCATAAATGATAAATCACAAAAAAAAAGAAATCTAACTCCCAAGGGAGATTATTAAGGTCAAGGAAGAACTACCGGACAAGGAGCTGGCTTCATTTTGTTGGATTATAAGCATATTACCAGGTTCTCTCTCTCCCTCTCTCTCGTCTGCAAGGACATTGATCAAGCCTCAAGGTTCAACATTTTGATCTGATACACCCCGTATAGGCATATTGTATCCTATTGGGGGTTCACCAAAATGCCATTTTCAAGTCGTTTCAAAATATATGTTTTAAAATGTTTTTTTTTTTGATAATTAAATTGTGTTTTTAAATGCTAAAGAGTATTAAATCCAATCCCCTTTTTAAAAATCAACGTAAAAAAAAATGTGATAGTATTGAAACAATCGATATGCATGTTTGTATATCGGCCTATCGGGTGTATTGATACTTCGAATTTGCGCCGACTGGTTGGTACGGTCTAAATTTATAGTCTGGCTGGGTTTCCATTTGATGATTGAGGCATGGGCCTCTCTACCAGTTTACCTAACCGTTTCAGTGAGGGTCATGTGTTTATTTTACTCACAAAAAGGATGTAAAATTTTTCAGATTAAAATACTTCAGGTTTCAGCTATTATGTCCATTCCAATTTGCAGGGCGAAAGCTTTGTTCTTAGTTCCCACTCCTTTGATTTGTTTTGGTGTAAATGGGAAGGGATATAGCTTAAATATTTTAATCTGAAAGCTTTTCCATCCGCTTTAAAGTTGAAGCAAATTCAGCCTAGTAAATCATCGAATTCATACTAGAGGCTCTGTATGTTTACAATTCATGGTTGTAAAACACAAGAAATGTAAGGAAAGCTGTTGGGTGTTCATTTAACCAAATCCCTTCTAAAACATTAAGCCAAGATAGAGCCCATGCAAATCTGAAGCTGATGCAAATTTTGTACCTGGTTTAGTTTTGCATCTATTTAATTGTGATTATGATTATGATTTGCATTCTTACCTGATGCAAAATTTGCACTTTTTTTTTGTGGTCTTATTTGCATCCATAACAACACAAATTTTAAATAAAAAAAACTGGTACAGAATTTGAACCACTTCTACCATAGTTCCAGTTGTATAAAGTGGATATCTCAAACAATTTGCTTCTCACCACTCCCCCCAAATAAACCTACCTCCTGCCTCATTTCTCTTTCATATAAATTGGAACACTTCATTTTACTTCCTAAAGCAAAGAAAACAATGTCAAATCTGAAGTAAAAATAAATCAGGATTTACAGCCTATTTTCACTCCTATTTACACTGTTGCAAATGAAATTCACTCTACTACCCAAACCTAAAGATTGTTTATACAAATTACATTCTCCCCATAAGGATGGATTCTCAAACTTGAGACAAAAAATCAACATATAAATCAGGATGGAAGCCTGAGGTTTAGCCTCCTTAGCCAGACTGAGTGAAGAATCATGTGGATGACATCGAACCGCTGAGCGGGTCGGTTGAGCACGAAATGCCTTCTAACTTGCCTCACCTTCTTCTGCATTTGCAGATACCTATTTTGAGAGACCCCTTGCAAAATCTTCTTAATGTCTGGTATCCTCTCAACTGGAATCTGCACTGAAAATTGGCTCCAATCCAGTACATCACTGAAAGGTAGCCAATAACCATCTGAAATTATAGTTGGGATGCAGCCTGCTTGGATTGCCTCTACAATTCTAGGGCTTGCAACTTCATACCCACTGGGGCACAGGCAAAATTTGGCTTGGCCCATTAGTTTAGCATAATTCATACCCTTTGGGAGATACTCATGGACCTGGACATCTTTATCCTTGTCTTTCCAGTGTTCCAGTAGTACCTTCCTTATGTAGCCATGTGCCCCTCCGGCAAAGAAGGCAAGGAGAGTCCTCTTGCTAGGAGCCTGGCCGAAGCTCGGCCGGCCAAGGGTTCCGAAAGGCGTATTGAGTTCCGGCAAAGCGGCATCGATTCCGGGCCGGAATCCTTCAGTGATGTTGGCATTGCAAATAACTCTGATGAAGTGTTTGAAGAGCTCAGGATGCGCAGTTGAAACGTCTGGCGCCTGGGATCCCACAATGACGAAAGGTTAGCTAGTGAGTAGTGACTGATGCCATTTATCACTTGGTAATTGGTATGTATTGAACTAACTTTGAACTGTGATGATAAATCAGATAAAGAAGGCATAAACAATACAAAGCAATAAACCATTCAGTTCAGCAACTTCAGCCTGTGTTATATCAAGCAGTAGAATGCTAGTCATCAAGGGAAGAGAAGGTACCCAATCGTGACAGGAGACCATGAAATGGTCGGCCCCATGGCTTCTGTTCCAGTATGGGTATTTATTCGATACAACGCCGATGTAGTCTTCGACGACATGTTGCAGTGGATCCCTTGCATAGGATGTGAGGGGCTTGTAAAGGTATTGGACGGCGTTGGCTATACTAAAGGGGAGGAAGAATGCATGGGCCTCATCAGGGTGGCGGGCCGCAAATGGGCTGTGGCCACTCTCCATCTCGTCAATGAACTGTCCCTCCGAGGAGTAGATATTATTTAGAGGCCCATTATGAACAAGGGGTGGTTCTCCTTCCCTGTAGACCCAAACCTTGAATCTCTTCACCATCTCATTGTGGCTCCTGATCACACAATAGAAAGAAAAGGATTCCAGTTAATAGACCATGGCTGCAGTCCGTAAACAAGTAGAGAGAATTAAGAAAAAGACCCACAATTGGGTCTTGGTAATCAGGGGAAGAGCTCATGGACCCAACAGTGAACTCTAATGGCTCCATCCTAATTCCTAAGGTCTGGTCAATAGTTCAAAGAGGGTATAGATTATAATGAGTGGAAACAAAGAGAGTCAAGAGAGTTGGGCTCTAGCTAGTTCTGTGGAAGCACAAAATGCAAGGCTCATCAATTATGGCCAATTGACTGATGCATCACCATATTTTCTTGCATCACAACATTCAACATCTATGCCCTAAATCAGTGACAATTCCCCAACAATCTAGACCATCCAATCAGTGGGCCATCGGATGTCTGTGGACCCTTTTGATCAATTAATCAAACGAATGCACCCAAGCAAGATTTCTGGACCATAATTAGATATTCTCTGATTTACAGAGACGAAGATATCGATAGAGTAAATCATTTGGAAGGTTTTATATGGCCTAGGCCAAGTATTTCCCTAGAAACTTGATAGTTGGAAGCAGAACTTCCACAGTTTTCTTGATCTCGAGTCTTAACTGATAAAAGGCGTATGGGTTTCTGTATATTGATCCTTTGGAGACGAACTCATCCTCTTTGGGTCTTGTGTTGTTACGTGAACGGGCTGCCTGGAGAATTGCCGCCCGAGCTCTGGCGAGGCTCTCTTCAACTCTATTCAAACTACTCTTCTTCTGCGCATAAAAAGTATATATATCAAACAGAAACACATCAAACAAGGAAAAAAAAGAAGATCCTCTTTGAGAATTTGGATCAAACCAAGTTTTGATTTCACTCACTCTAACATAGGTATCAGTTGCAGTACTAGTGCAAGTGCTAGAACTGAAGGAAGGAATAGCAGACCCAATGAAGTCTTTGGCCGGAGAAGGCGCCGGAGCTGGCGACGGGGGCAGAGGTATTTGCGAGGCATTAAGGGTGTTCATTCTGTGATCAGAAGAGATGGATGAAAAGAAGAAGGTGGTCGAGAGTTGTTGATTAAGAGGAGATAGGTAGAGGAGGAGAAGAAGAAGAGCTGCAGGGAAGAGCAAGATAGAAGTGTGGCAGCTGCAGTCCGCCATGGCTTTTCTTCTCTGGTGTTTCCTTGCTTTCTTCTGTTATTGATTTCCTTCCCTTTTGTGTCACCTTATATTTATTGAATGAGGAAACTAGATGGGATTCTCTGATATTGCTGAGCTGGTTTGTAGAGGCTCAGAGTTATGTCAAGTTATCAATGGCACTCTATAGCCAACCAGCCAGCCAGCTTCATCTCATGCTAAACATAGAAAGCCATGATTTCTAGTATACTGTCTGTTTTAGTGGTGGATCAATTTTGGACATTGAAACGGATTTTTTTTGGTGTTTTTTGTAAGTAATTTCTGATTACCCAAAATAAATTTGAAAAAAAAATATTAAAAAAGAAATTAAAGGAAGGTGGGCCATGTATATATATGACAAGTTGCAAAAACCATGCAGCTGATCCGACGGTTAGTGGTAACTGATAAGCATGAGTTGATTGAAGAAGATGCATTTAATTTGGATCTAACATACTACGCCCATGTACTAAATGCCATTATGTATATGGTTAGAACAATGTGAACATGTAATTAATGTTAAATTAATAAGGGCGTGGGGTCGTTTCGGGGGATTTATTAAATGACCCGGGATCCCGGGATATTTCCACGTGGCAAATTAGTTCTCCCGCTTCTGTATTCATGTGAACAAGTTGGATAAGATCTTACCACCTATGCAAAATAAGCCATAGATCTCTTGGTAAAAGTTTATTTTATGCGAGAAAAATCAAAACTTTGAACGACTAATGTTACATATTACTGTAAGACTGAACATATGGCTAATTCAGTGTGTCCTCTATCTAATGGACAGGCTGGATCCTTCATATATAGCGTCCCTCAAAAAGCTCCATGCATGGCCTTTTGGGAGGATGTAAGAGGAATTAGTGATGGACAGAGAAGAGTGCACGTGAAACTCATTGGTCTTGGTCATATTATAGAGATTCTGTGTATGTATGGAATTGATTCCGTGTCACGCCTTCTAAATGGAGAAGTTGGCATGATCTCGACTATTGGATTATCAACAAACAGATCCGCTAATTAAATTGTATAGTGCATGGTTTTAAAAAACGATTCGGAAATAGAAGCCATTGATTTTTGGGTTGATGGTCTGACTGCCTAGTTCGAATGGACAATCTGTTTTAACAAAAAATTAAAAAATAAAAAATAAATAAAAATAAAAATAACTCAAATAATTGAACAGGTTGAAGATTGACGATTTGATCATTCCAAACAACGGATTGTTAACTCTTTTTAATGATTTTTGGTCAAGAACCAGGTTTGGAATAAAACAAAACCAGTTGCCTAGAATCAATGGCAATTCAAAAATCATGGTAAAGTGAGCTTCCCTACATATGCCATATGGGGTGCCTCATTTGCTCTGATTGTGACTCCTAGGCATTGAAAATTAGAACCTTTCTACGTGAGGAACAACATAAGAAATCTTGCTAGGAGCTTTATTATCAACAATTTTTTTGGGGGAACTTTATATCTCTCTCTCTCTGAACGTCAAATTATTTTAGTTTTTAAACATTGAGGCATTTCTGTAGGCGGATGGAGAGGAGGATTGAATGGTTGGTTAGGTCAGGATTATCATTCTAGGATATATAACTGGGACACGCCCCTAAAGGATGTAGGTGATAGTTGTGATAAGTCAACTATGAGATAATTATATAGTTTGTGTTTACATGCATATTAGAATATGTATTCTGTTTTTGTTTTTTGGGTAGTCCATCCTTTAAACCCCAACCTTGGTGGCAGGATTTTGATCGCAGGTCTCTGCTATAATAAGTCTGAGATTAACATCAAGGTTTTCAAAGGTTTTGAAATTTAGGAAAATTTGAAAACTTAGTGCAAGATGAAAATCTTTCCAAATTTCGAAGTTTCATCACTTTTGATAAATTTTAATCATTTTAATAATCAATATTTGGGTAAAATATAAAAGCCCCTCAAGGTTTAAATTTAACAAAAACCTCCTCTTTAGTTTTGAAAAAACCTGCAGTTACCTCCCTTTCAGGCTTCTATCATTGTTCTAGTAAGGAGACTTGAAAGGTACAAATTGCCCTTACTATTCATTGGGGCATCTTTCAACATGATTCAGAATACCGTATTTGTCTTTTCATACTTCACTCGACCTAATGGGTTTATAGAGTAAAATTATTTTTACTCTTTTAAATCTAATTTAGGGAATTTTTTGGTCAGATGTTAAAAGTTTTTTTTTTGGAAGCATTTTAATAAATCTTCATTTAAACTGATAAACATAAGGGTAAAATGGATATTTAAAAAAAAACTAATACGTTAGGCCAATGTTTTCTGTTTGGGGCAGTGATGGAAGGGGAAGACTGCAGTTTTCTTTTTTTTTTTCAAAACTATAGGAGAGGTTTTGTTAAAATGAAACTTTAGGGGAGGCTTTTATGATTGTCAAAAACCTCACCAGAGGTTTTTATATTTTACCTATAATATTTTTGGGAAATTTGAGTTCAGTCCACATCATGGACTTTTATTAGTTTTTCTTGGGTTTTATTTACCAACACCTCCTAAACAATAAAACCCATTTTTTATATAATTGTATAATATTTTATGTTTATATTGTTATTTTTTACCATCTTAATATTTTATATGAAGTTTCAGGATAATAGTGGCTGACTTAAAAAATAATCGTCCAAAATAATATGCTTAATAATTTTCATAATTCAATTGTGGCACTATCCTAAACCCGAAAATTGTGAAACTTCACTCACAGTTGAAACTTGAAACCATCTGCACATCTGGTGAGAAGCAACTGATTTTCTAAATCCAACTCCATAGAGATAGAAAGAGGAATGGCCCAAAATAAATTCTTTGTCAAGTCCTCTATTTGTTAATATGCTCCCATACCCATTTAATTGAATATGGACCGGATATTTTCAGCTGGTCCGAGAACCCGCACATTTCATAGGAGAGGTTAAGGATTCTCTAGGGTCCAGCGTTGCTTTGGAAAGAAGGGTTAGATTATTTGCATGGGGATTGAGGGTATGGGGCTTAGGGATTGGAATTAACACTAAGACCAAAGCGTATGGGTTTATCTCAATTGTTTAATGGCCCATAAAAAGAGGTGTGAGAAAGCCCATTATTTACCTGGTCGTGGGCTCCCGATACAATATATTCTCCAATAAGCTGGTTTCCCCATCTAGGCACTAAATAGAAGATAAGCAAACCAGCTTTAATCACAAATAACAATACAGAAGTCAGAGTCCAACCACTGATCCAAATTTTATGGTAATCGGTGGGAGACTCACGTGGGGCAGGTGTTATGTGGAGTGGTGATTCTGCTAATTAACAGTTACATAGCTCAAATCCCTGAGAGGGTGAAAATTCCAGGGAATCGGAATTATGAAATTTTGGTTTAAATAAGAGGAATGAGGAATTTACGCGAGTAAGAAAAGAGATGGATTTTGAAATCAAGTTGAGTTGGTTCAGCTTGCCGTTATTGTGTCTAGGGGTGTAATCGTGAGATGGGTTGAGTAATGGGATACTAAAGTTTGTATCGGCTTAGGCAGTGTTTGGAACAATGCTGTTTTTAAGAGGCGCTTTCTTAGAAAATGGTACAGTATAAAGATACTGTTTTATCAAAAAAAAAAAAAAAAATTCTTATCATTGCTGTTGCTGCCAGGGTACCAGCCTGTCATATAGGCATTTTTTAATGCTATGTCAGCATACTCAATTTGAAACTCGAATTGAGTTTCACTCAACATCCTACCGATGCGGCTCTAATTTGATTGTAAATAAATTAATATTAAACATATTAGAAAATTCAATTATAGAGTATTTATTTATTTATTTATATTATAAATAAAAAATATATTAGGGAACTTAATTATAAAATATTTATTTATTTATATTATAAATAAAATATATTAAAAAATTAATATTTTATATATTCAATTAGACTTGCAAACTACTTGATTTGCTTGGGCTTGACTCAAACTCAATTATTTACAAATCAAATTCATGTATTTAGCTTTTTCTTTGAAGCCAGTTCAAGTATTTAGTGAGTCGAGATCGAATAACTTGCACGTAGGCTCGGCTCACTTATATCCCTAATTGTGTCTGCCTTGAGCTGAATACTTGAACTTGAATCACTTGAACCATCTATTGTTCAAAGTTCAAACAGAGAGAGATCCCAACATCAGATTTGCTCATAGACAGCCAAACATGGCCTTCAAAGACAGTCTACAACTTTACTTTTGTGAACTGGATTTTATTTCAAGTGACTTTCAATTAAATTGAACTCAACCGAGCCTTGTCCATTGTAAAGTAATTAATATTACCCAATTAAGTGAGATTGCCCCTACAAATGGCATGAGCTGCTGGTGCAGTGCTGACATGGTGAATTAGCATGATTTGTATATAAAGATTTGACAGCAGAGATCACATATTCCTTGCCCAACAAAAATGCTAAAAGAAGAATGTTAATGATCCTCTATTTCCTTAATTGGTGAGACTGTAAGTAAATGGAACCAAACATCAAGAGTTTCGTGGTTGCAGTTACGATGACCCTAAAGTGGAAAAAAATGGAGCTTTTCCATTTTGTAGTAGTTGTTATCTGAACTATGGAATATCCTACAATCTCTTGCCCTAGAACTATTTTTTGAGTGATTTAAATCCATTCATAACCATCAAAGAGAAACAAGAATGTCCAACCTACCAGAAGAGTGTTACTTTGAATATGACAGCTTCAAAAATGGTTTAGCTGTCGACATTAATGTAAACCAATCTGGCAACGTCATGTAATTGGGGGTGGGGCAGAACAGGGTTCACCTGTGGCATGAGCCCCACTGCCATATCATGGAGAGCCTGTAGTTTCATGGATTTGATCCTATACTTCCTATCTATGAGTCCGGATCTCCTATCCACGAGAACTTTGTTCATATTTATCGTAGTCACACATGGAGAACATCTCATAGATGTTCCCAATTCATGGAGGGTAGTGTATTGTGGGTAGAGTTCTCATGGGTAAGAGATTCGGAGTCCCTATTATTTAGAGGGGTGTCAAGTGACTATCTCGAAAATGAGATGGGATTGAGTCCTCACAAAACCGTGCTCACACTGTATTTGTAGTCACTTGCAGCTGTGTATAGAAAATTATTCTCTATGAATAAAAATTTACAAGTATGAAAATATTCCCAATACATTGTTGCTAGTGGCTGTAAGGACTCTCTGAGCACTATTTTGTGAGGACTGAATCTGAATTCCTTGACAACTGAGTCATTGGCTTCTCGATTAGTTTAAAAATTGAGGGGGCATTCTCCAACATGGAGGTTTTTTGCCTTTTTGTTATTGTTGAAATGTGATGTTAATATTAATTAGAATTTCAATAATTGTATGATTTTTAAATTCTTGTTTCAAATTTCAGTTTTTACTCAAATCAGTATTCTCCTCTTGACTTCAAACTTTTCATGAGAATGCGCTTCAAATTGATTTTCATGTATTATCAGAAATAAAACAGAAATTTCTACTATACCACTATAAGCCAATATATTTTTACATGAAGAATATGGTAATATTTTAGCTAGTTGTTAAGGCTATGGTAATATTTTGTAAAAGTTTCCCTACCTTTTTCTAAGGTTATTATCTTGTTCTGTAATTTTTTCCCCTTAGAATCATGCTAATTCTGCATGATAATAAACAATGGTTGCTGACCTTACCTCTTGTTGAGATCAAATTCCATCTTTGTTCTCCTCTTATGGGTGCTTGGTTTAGGATGCCTCCAATATCTACCATTGGGAAGATGCTTGTTTCTTTCTTGTGTTCAATAGTTGTTGCTTTCTGTGGTGGGTCAGCTACTTTTTGAGGCTAGGTGCTGGCTTGTATACAATGTGAAAATTAGGGTTAGTGATCAACTATCAGTGCTTTGAATTCCGGCCAGGAGGTTGAACCAGGGTCAATGATTAAATCATTCAGGTTAATGGGTGAACTTACAATGTCATCAGGGTAGAATGGGCCTGACTCAAAACCCAATCCCGAAGCAGTGTTAAATGCTAATTTCGGCCAACCCGAGTTGCACCCTATATGCCAATTGTCGTCATTATAAAAAAGTTTCAAAATAGTTTAAAAAACCAATGATCCATTGAACAGGTTAGATGGGTCAACAGTTCAATCATCTAGGTTGACGGGTCATTGACTGTCTTCTTTTTTTGGTAATATAATGGGTTATAGATTGAGCCAAACCAGAACTGTTAGTGGCTCACTAGGTCACCCAGTTGAACAGGCCGGGTCAATGACAGGTTGAAAACCTTGGTATATATGGCTCAAAGAAGCCCAGTGGATGGTGTTAGTTGTCCAAGATTAACCTATTAAGAATCAATATGGGTCAATAGAACTCATTCTGTAATGAAACTATGGTTTTCAAATTATTTTTTCGCTTTTGCTTGCAAGAGTTTATATTACAACTTCTCTCTTTCAATCATTCACACAGTACACTTCCAGTAACAATCTCTATAACAAACGCAACAACCTGTTCAATCAATACACTTCGGAGGGGGGGGGGAGAAATAAAAGAATTCACATAATCCTATTACACCCCACTCTGTCTCGCCATTCAACAAATATGAGTGCAGCACCATAATGAGCCATAGCGCCCATGATCACAAAAACATGGAATATCTGATGACTGTGACCGGCCAAGTCGAACCACCCTGGCTTCCACCTCTCCGGAATCCGGCTAACGTAAAAGAAGGTCCCTATGAGGTAAGATAGTGCCATGGCTGACTCATAAGCTAGTGTTATCGCGCGCTGGGGCTCACTCCAATTGACAACTATAGCATGGATTGCAGGGATAATGCCGAAGAGGCCCATGGACACGAAGAGCAGTGCTCGAAAAGAGCGGCATTTACTGGTCGAGAGCGGCGAAAACAGCGTTATGATGGTGAATATGCCCAGCATTGTGATCCCAGTGAGGTAGATGAGTTGCCAGTGTGGGGAACACTGGAAGATGTAGTAAATTGGAGGGAAGAAGGAGGTGACTATCATGACTGCAATCCCTACATAATCAATTCTGAACATTAGGACATTTAGGCTGTGGGAATGGCAACAGAAGAGGTGGCAAATGCTGCTAGAGAGGAGGCAGAACATTGAGCCTCCCATGAAGACGAAGAAAGGCCATCGGGGCGCTTTCGTTACTGCTGCTGCTACTATTTCAGTAGGTACCATCTTCTCCAATTCAACGAGTCTTGCCGCTCCCTGCAATAGCTTCAGAGTGTCACTGCTTGCTTATCTTAGGTCTGGACTATGGAGACTCAACCTTCTCCATGATTTATGTTCAATAGATGTTTGGGCTTTGGGGTCATTTTTGTATTGGGCCTTATACATGGTTAGATGGGCTCAGTTGGTAGTAAAGCCTTCGCTTCTTCTACTGCAGCTTTGGTGGGCCTGATCAACCTTGGGTTGGGTTTGGACTATGGAGACTCAACCTTCTCCATGATTTATGTTCAATAGATGTTTGGGCTTTGGGGTCATTTTTGTATTGGGCATTATACATGGTTAGATGGGCCCAGTTGGTAGTAAAGCCTTCGCTTCTTCTACTGCAGCTTGGTGGGCCTGATCAACCTTGGGTTGGGTTTGGGCTAATAACCCCAGTTCAACCTCAGCTTTGGATGGGCTTGATTGGTCTTGGAAGCCCAGCCCGGATTGATGCTGAAATTAGCACATAGAAATAGAGTAGGGTAAATATTGGAGTTGAGCTCTTTTGCCAACAAAACATGTTCCAACCCTCTACCAACTTGACCTAACACCAATCGCACTATGAGACCGTGGCCCACCATGTATGAAATGTGTGGTATGAGATTATGTTTGGTAGAGGAGTTGAACGTGTTTTGTTGGCAGGTGATCTGGACTAAATGTTTGTATGGGTTGAAGTCCTAGGGCTGCAAATAAGTCGAATGTTTCGATTCAAATCTGAATTCAATCCGGCAAGATCTGGGTTTGGACATCTCCCTTGGTCCTGACAAATCGAATCAAATCAGAAAAGTGATCCATTTGGTTAACGGATCAAATTCTATTATACTCCAATCTGATCCACCATGACCCGACCCGACCCGACCACTAGTTATAAAATATTATATACATTATAGTACATTATTACATTATATAAATAATATAATATATTATTTATATTATGTCATTAAGTTTTTTTTTTTAATTACAATTCAAACCGTATATCTGATAATAAATTCGAATTCAAATCATAATCTTGGAGATCCGATAGATTGTTATCGGATTTAGATAGGATATACCCTTTACTGAACCCGATCCGGTCCATTTGTTGCCCTGCCCTAAACCCGACCCAACTAGCACAAAAGTTGTATCCAAAGTTGGTAGTTTGACCGAGAGAAAAAATTGACCTACCAAGTAAAAATCCTTGGAATCATTGAAAGCATTGGTGGCTGCAGCGACAGGGAAAGACCTGCCACAAGAACGTAAATAGTAAATATAATATGAGAGTCCTGATTCAATGAAACTATCAGCAAGAATTATGAAATGCAAAAAAAAATATGGAGCATTAAATTTATTTTCTTCATTATAATTTCTCTATTAGCAAAAAAAAGAAAAAAAAAACTGGGCTGCTGCTGCAGAGTGGATTTCGAGTATATTTACTAAGCTCATGAATCCATGATATTAAGTGCTTACAGGTTCTCAACTTCTCATAATTTCCTCCCAAACCCAACCCGAAAGCACTACGCTCCAAACCAAAGGTCCGGTTATAACCGGGTTTACCGTTTACCCACACTACTGACTCCTTGAGGGTCAGTTAAGGACAAAATTTTGAATGGTTGACAAGATCACTGTAATTTGAAGGCTCGTGGTTTGAAGTTTGAACCTTGCTACCCAAGTACCCAAGTACACAACCCAACCCAAGAATTCTCATGTACAAGACTTCAAGCCTTTGATAACATTGAAAATGAACGGTCCAGATCAAGATCAATCCACATGTGGTCCATGCATTCAAATCAGACAATTTGAACTTCCATCTTTCTAGCTGAATGCTCTCAGAGATAACTTTTTTTTTTTCTAGAAAAATAACGGTATTTTGATCCATTTAATTGAATAAATATTAAACTAGCTAGAAACAATAAACCAAAAAAGAAAAACAGAAGAAGCCATCTTCAGCAAACCTGGTGAATTGGCTAAGGAAATGTGCTACTTGTGGCACTTGCATCAAATTCGTTATCGTCAACCCCAAGAATAGAAAAAACCCCAGAAGATGTCTACAGAGACAAAAAGAAACCAAAATAAGCAGAAGCAGAAAAGAAGAAGAAGAAGAAGAAGAAGAAGAAGAAGAAGAAGAAGAAGAAGAAGAAGAAGGAGGAGGAGGAGGAGGAGGAGGAGGAAGTGGTGGTACTTACGTCCAGACGTTAAGTGTCTCGTTGTGCCAGAGAAACACGCTGGAGAGAGCCTCCTTGAGAGGCCAATTCGCTCTGTAGTAATCCAGTATGTACTCGTTATCTTTCATGTAGTCTGGCAAATCCCAGTACGACACTAACTGGTATCGTTTTGTTTCTGTTCTCTTCTTGTTCTTCTTCGTTTTCTTCTTCTGGGTCGTATCGTCCGACGAACCCGAAGGGCGAATATCCATATCTGCTCCTCTTCTCTGTACCAGTCCCTCACTCCAATTCATCGTCCGTAAACTCCCCCCAAGATATCTAAGAGAGAGAGATCAAACAATGACAAGAGTTTGATATTTTGCCGAACCTTTTAATGCTCTCTGTCTGTCTCTCTCTCTCTCTCTAGCTTATTTAGTGCAATTTTGGAATCTAAAGCCAGCCAACTACCCAACCCAACTGCATTTAAGCTCTCTCTCTCTCTCCGCGTGTATATAAAATTATTACGTCCATATAGACCTGGCAATTGGGTTGGGTGGGTCGGGTTCGGGTTGGTTTCGGTTCGGGTTGAATTTCAGGTTGGGTTATCAAATGCTAGACCCTAACCCTAAATGTTCGGGTTAGGGTTGACCTATGAGTCAATTCGGGTCATTCCGAAAAATAATTAAAATTAAAAAAATAAAGAAAAATTACATGAAAATGTCAAAATTAAAAAAATTAACCTTAAAATTCCAAATATAAAATAAAAAGCTTGAACATTTAACAATTTAATGAGAAAACAATAAAAAGTAAAGACTAAATAGAAAAAATTAAAGAGTGGAAACTTCTAACAATGCATAAATAATCCCAATTAGACTTGACAATCGGGTCAACGGGTTGACCCATGACCCAATCCAACCCAACCCAGTTTTTTTCGGGTTGGGTCAGGTCATTTTCACATTCGGGTAGCTAAATATGAGACCCTAACCCTGTTTTTTCGGGTTGGGTTGGATCGGATTCGCATGTTGGGTCAACTTTTTGCTAGGTCTACGTTCATACGTTGTTATAGAGAATATAGGTCTGGATGTAGTAGGCACATTAGATAAGCACAATGAGTGAGCACGTAATAGCTGTGTAACACATGTCCCATTTAATGTGCCTTTTAACCAAACGTTTGTGTTCTATTAGATAGAAGTTATCTATTATTTTATTATTTTATTATCTTTTTTCATTGTTTTTTATTTTTAATTATTTTGACAAAAATAATAAAATAATAAATAACTTCTGTCTAACAGAACAAAAATGTTTGAATGAAAAACACATTACCTAGGACATGAATCATATAACTATTATGTGATCACTCATTGTACTTACCTAATGTGCATAATACATCCGGCCATACCTTCTTGAATCTTTGAATCTTTTACAAGTCCTAGACGCTTTGATTTGGGTCTTCGAATTGGTGGGCCACCTCTGTGTAAGCTCATCAGAATGAAGATAAATAGATAGAATGTTTTACTTTGGTATTAACTGTTTGATCAAAACTTAAGCTTGGCCACCTAATTTTGGAGGAGTTTGATCCTAGAATAATCAATGGATTTGATTTCTGAATCTGCACCTCTTTAAATTCTGAAAAGTTTACATGAAATAAGATTTTGAATCTTTTGACCTTTGATACATGAAACCCTATTAATTAATTCAAGTGGGTCGGCATAGATTTCGTAAATTATTTGAGTAATTTTGATAAATCGATGGGTTAATGGTTGAGTGTTTAAGTGGGTATTTTGAGTTCTGATATTCTGCTTTTTTTTTTGGTTGGGGAAGCTTAGCTGTTTATTATCTGTTTTTATATAAAATAATGAACCGTTTCGAGTTATGTGGGGCAGCAACCCGGTGGGTCAATTTGTCGGTTCGATCGGCTTCTGTTGGAAAGCTGCATAAAGCCATAAACTCTTTTAATGAATCGAGTTATTGCAATGCCAAGTCAAAGAAGGAGAGGGCGTGTTGACCGGCGGTCAAGTTCAAAATGAAACTCTGATGTCAGTCCACTGGGAAACAATACGGGTTCGGGTCGTTGATTGCGACCTCTTGGGTGGGCACCGGCTGAAGGGGGAGACTGGTGGCCGACCACAAGGCGGTGACGTGTTGAAGGCACACTAACCCAAAGCCTTGTCAAAGTGAGTTATTGGATCCCATCAACACTACAAGTGTTGGGTCCACAAAGGAGAATGCTTGCTTGATTGATATCAAGAGTTGGTTCAGAAACCCAACCACCTTGCTGTAAACTATAAATGGTCGGTTAATGCCTTTAGTATTTATTAAAATGTATATATTTTTTCGAGAATTTTATATATAATGAGCTTTTAATTATATAATTAAAATAATTCTTTAATAATTATTAAGGTAATGTTTGATAACACTAAAACGGGGTCTGATATATGAAAAACTTGGTTTTAACTAAAATGTCCTCCTCTTTGTTAATATTATAAAAGCTCTAAAAAGTAGAAAAGTTCTAGGTATAAGATTCTAATTTTAGCATAACTACCCAAGTCTGATGGGGATCAAGAATTAACATAATTAATCATTCATTTGGACATGCAAGAACTATTAATACAACTAGCATACTAAAGTACATACTACTTTGGAAGTTGACAGAAATATTTTTCTTGTGAATGTAAAGGACAGAACATACATTCAAGAAACAAGATTTTCTACTGATTCCTCTTAGCTATTTTGAGTAGGGGTGCAAATGGATGGAATCTGATTGGACCGGATCCGATAAGAAATCAAATTGGATTTGGATTACCTCTATCCAATCCTATATATATTATGTATTTATTTATATTATATTTTTTTATAAATTTGTTATATTATTTATTTTGTAAATATATGTATGATGAAAATAATTAAAAAATGTTTATTTTTTGTTTTTTTTTTCTTTATTTAAATTGATATATTTTATTTGTTTAATAATTTATTAATTTTTAAAGAAAGTCAAATCGGATCAAATCAAAAGATCTAACTTACTAATAGAATTCGAATTCAGATCGAGGCCTATAAGATCCAATTAGATTTTCAGATCGAATTGAATATGCCATAAACAATGTTAGATCAGATTTAAATATACCTCTTATTCGAATCCGATCCGATCCATTTATATCCCTAATTTTGAAACTATCAGCAAACGAATAAAAAGGTTTCTAGCCCTTACAAAGGAGAAAGCAATATTTTCTTTCAATATTTCAACTTAACTGAAAAACATAAAAAGTATGAGCCTTTGATGATGACGCAAATGGCTGAATTGGATGACTTACTATTTTGTTTTTTCAATGAAAAATATTGAAGGATAAATCAATTGATATGATACCAAAAGAACTTTTTGACCAATCAAACTTCTGTAAATTTTGATGAAAATCCACCACTGCTATGATATGGTTATAAGATTTTCCAGTATTACAATGGAACATTAATATTAAATAATAAAGTGTTTGACTGTATATATAATAATCAACCCAATTTCAGTTTCAATCATTAAGATCTCATAACCTCCTTAAAAACTAATTAGAGAAATTAAGCAATAAACCATCCGATCAGTTCGGCTAATTCAGATGTTATGAGAATTAATCAGCAAGGGGCATTGGGCTACATCTCATCTAGTTAATGATAAATGTTACGTTGCTTCAGTTTTTTTTTTTTTTTTTTTTTTTTTTTTTTTTTTTTTTTTTATGAATTACAAGTTGTTTTAATCAGAACGGACAAGGAACCGTTTTGGGTTTGGTTTTTGGGTTGAATGGTCCGATTGTTTGATCCAAATGGATGGCCCGTTGTTACAAAAAAAATAATAATAAACCTAAAAAATGGCCAAAAACCATTCACAGATCGAACGGTTTGACTGTCCGGATCAGCGGTTTGCAGACTAAATTAACGATTTTTGGCCAAATAATAGTTTTGGAATAAAACAAAACCTGTCAAGTGACTGATTCCCAATTTTTTCGATCTAACTGTCCAATTCAGTCCAAACATTAATTTACCAGATGGAATCTACTCCTCACAAATGGGCACCTCACATGCACATTATAAGCTACCTCCCTCAATTAATCAAAATAGGCCATGTTGTCCTTCTTCCAAGACATGATACATAAGGGGCTCCCCTTCCATAGGCCCCAATGAATCAAATTCCCTTTTCCTGTTCGGAATGATTCTTCTAGGAACATAATTTTATCTTTGCATTTGGTTGCAAAGATAGCGGAGGAAACAAGAAAAAGTGATTTTTTATTTTCTATTTTTAAATTTGGGTGATAAGAGAAACCCAAAGAAAAAAAAGGAATCTATAACAAATAGCAAGGTAAAAATTTCTTTGGTATATTTTATTTTCCCACTAAAAAGAAGAGCATAGAAAAACATTAGAATATAAAATAAGCATATTTTGACTTTTTATTAATATATATACTTTTCATTTTCTTTGCATCCTGATGAGGGTGGATTTGGCCTTCCAATGATATTGTGATACATGGCATCTCAGAACAATTAGACGACATCCAGAACCATTTAGGCAATAACTTGCCTTAGCCAAGATGATGGTGGCCCAGTTGGCGACCTGGCACAGGCGCTGACCTGGCGGCTTGGCATAGGCGCCGAACTGGCAGCCTGGCACAGGCGCCGACGTGGCGACCTGCGAGACATGCTCGCCAACAAATTCAGCATGCATATTCCAACACTCCCATGATCATTGGAAGTTTGCACATGTACCGAACAATCCGGAGGGTGGTCAACGTGCATGACGGTTGCCTCCGGGAATCTTTGACCACTTAGGCAACCTCTCAGAAATCTCGGATATGGTGCGTGAAGCCCACACCAAACAATGCCTATATAAAGGCACCAACCCCAATGACATGAGGGGGACAAGTAAGCATATTCTAGCTCTCATACTTTATGATTTTTAGCTCATAGTCTACTATGAGAGTACTGACTTAAGCATTGGAGCGACCTCGCCGGGTTAGCCACCCCGGGTCCTCTGACATTGATTTGTTGCAGGTCTTTAAAGAATTACGAAGCTTAACAATTAATCTAGCTCGCCACCGGTCAGCTCAGTACCTAATCTGCCCCCAGCTCGGCCTGGTTAGCTCGGCACCTAATAGGCAGCTCGACACCTAATAGGCAGCTCGGCCCTCTGGTCATCTCGACACCTAATAGGTAGCTCAGCACTCTGGTCAGCTCAACACCTAATAGGCAGCTTGGTCCTCTGGTCAGCTGGTCACCTAATATGCAGCTTGGCCTAGTCAGTTCGACACCTAACCTGCCCAGCTCAGCTTAGTCAGTTCGGTACCTAATCTACCCCTAGCTCGGCATCCAGGTCCTCATCTAGCAAAAGTTCTCCACTTCGACCTCTGAGTCATCGACCACTTGGAAGT